CTAAAAAGAAGAAAATTCAATGCCATCAATACTTCCTACTGGAAGAAATTTGTAGATAATAAGAAACCACTTACAAAGTTTATTTAAAAGCACATATAAGTTCCCCACAAATGTGTTTCCAATTATACTCTTTTTCAGTCTTTCTACAACTTTGTGAATGGAGGAAGGTGTTACTAGAGATTAAACCCAGGATCTTGGCCTTGAGCTACACCCTTAACCTTTTTATAATTTTAAGATAGAGTCTAGTTAAGTTGTCCAGGTTGGATTTAAGCTTGTAATCTTTGTGCCTCAGTCTCTCAGAGTGCTAGAATTACAGGTATGTATCATCACTCTTGGCACTTCTACCATTATATTTATTAAGGATACAGCAATTTTTAGAATTTGAGTCAAAAAGGTGAATTTTTTTTAAAAAAACAAAGCCTGCATCTGGTGAACTCATAATAGAAATGATCCTTGGTAAATTATTTTTATGATGTTGGTTATTCTATAGTTTGTCCATACCATGGACAGAAATGTTTTTAACAAAATACAAAGATTACATAAGGTTTTTGTTTTTTGTGGGTTTTTTTCTTTTTTTGGCAGAACCAGGGATTGAACTCAGATTCTTGCTTTTGCCAGTCAAGCGCTTATCCTACTGAGTCATCTCCCCGGCCCTACATAAGGTTTTTGGTTCACTCAATTTTTTAATAGTTCTAAAGCTTCAACTTCTACATAGTAGCATTTTCTTACAATAAAATAGGCTTTTCATATAAATTATTTTTATATTCTATGCATATGAAAAAAAGTCTACAAGCAGCTTTTTTAAAAGTTTCTACTGCTCCTTTGTGAAATATAAAACCTAACATTGGTAAGTTCTAAGTGGGACTCCTAAATCATTTTGAAAAGAGTGAGGTATTACCTGTAGCCAGTACCAAAGAGAAATAAGTTGACCAGAGACATCACTAGATATCCCATTTTCACTCTTATAGTTTGCTTCTCCCAAACCAAGTACAGTATGGAACTGAAGACCTCTACTCATCATCTGCATACTGTGTTTATTGGCTACATAAATGTTCTACTTTTATCACCTGCATTCTACTACAAGTTAAATCAATTCTCACTGTTTAAAATAACTATAACCCCAGTATCTAATCTAATCTAATCAGTATTTAATCTAACACTAAAAGCTATCTTTATTAGGCAAATATTTCTAAAGGTTAATTTGCTAAATCATAATTTTTTTTGATACTTTAACAGGAAAAAGTCCATTTTCTCAAAATGAAATTATACACAAAATTTAAACACTATGCAAATTCAATCAGTTAAAAAATAACTATTTCCTTTCAGATGTTTAATACTCAAAAAAGTGGAAATTACAAAATAAGATAAAAAATAAGATATAGCTATTTGTACAGGTAATTGCAAAATAATATAAAATTATGGTATAGTAGAACCTATCTATGTAGCTAATATTGTTTAGTGAAGAACCTACACAAAAACAAAATCTTTTCCTGTAAAAATGTAGGTTACATTTCAAAATGTGACTTCCTACTACTAGTAGAACAAGAATTTCTAGCAATTCACACCTTTTATTAGTTAATGAGCAAACACTAAAGGAAAAATTACAATCCTTTAGACCAAATGAAGGCAGACTTCACTACGTTAATGAAAAGTATTATTTTGTTGCTGTTATAAAGCTACCAGGAAGCACACCAGCCACCAGAACTCAGCAATTTACTCTCTGATTTTTTAGAGCAGGGTTAGCAACAGAACACTGAAGATGCTTTGAGAGATGGTTAAGTGACAAACAACATGAGATTTGCTTCTAAAATTGCCAAATTACTTTGCTTTCCCACAAAGGGAATGCAGGAGGCGGTGGAATGACTCACCACAGTATCACTTTGTGTTTTAGGCTGTTTGGAGGAATCCAAAGCAAATATAGTATACTCAGAGAGAAAAGCAGGCTCTGCTATCATCCCGGCTAGTAGCTGTCTCATTCAGTGTAACAAGCACAGGTATAAAAATAAAACATGACGAAAAATGAATCTTAATAGCATGTTGTAAAGTGTTCGCACCGCACAGCATGCACAACACTACAGACAATCATTATCCTTAGCCCATCACCACCACTGCCCCCCACCAATAGAAATAATAAATTGCAGGGAAAGATCAAGAATGGAGATGAAAAGGATCAGTTTCAGACCTCAAAGTCCAACCTGCTTATAGCCAATAATGTATGCTGTATGTTGTATGTCTTCCAATTTGGTATAAAACTCCATACCAATAAAAATAATACATATTGGTACAAAGTTTCAGTAATGAAAGATGAAAATTCTGGAGATCTTGTACACACATAGTGCCAACAGCTAACAGCATGCAATTGTGTACTTGGAATTTTCTAGGAAAGTAAATCTTACATCAAGTACTCAACAATAAAATAATTATGATGGAAGCAGGAGGAAACTTTGGGAGGCAGTGGATAGACCATTATGTTGATGGTATGGATAGTTTCACAATGCATATTCAACCCCAAACTCACTGAGTAGCATACACTTAATATGTACAGTTTTTTACATGTTTAAAGTGGGCTTAAAAACTGGTAAAAGAATACAAAGCCTTTGTACAAGATTCATAAACATTGAGTCATTCATTTTTATATATTCAAAAAGATAGCATGGAAGGACAAAATAGAAAAACTTAAGCATTTATCTGTACTTACATACAAAACCATTTTTTCCAATATATGTACAGAAGAAACTTGAAATGGAAATTTATGCTATAAAAACAAATTTTATTACACTAGTTCTTTGGGTTTTTTTTTTAGTACTTATTTGCAATAAATAATGATTACATTCATCCTTAGTACAGAATCTTTTGTAATATACTCTCTTCTGCACTTCTAAAAAATTTTTTAACTTTTTTGTCAATTATATTTGCCATACATACTGATTATATTCATCATAGAAAGTTTGTACTGGTATATAATATATCTTAATTCTTTTTTTCTCCCATTTTCTTCTGCTCCCTTCAGTCCTTCTTCACCTAACTTACAAAAGCTTTGTTTCTAGTTTTTCCTTCCATTGTTATTGTTCCCTTCTCCCTTCCTTCCTTTCCCTCTCCCCACTCTTATCTTCTTCTCATCTGAACATGTTCTTTCTACTTCCCAATATTTATCCTCTTTTATAACCCTTATTTACCCTCACACAAGGTTTGGGTTTCTTCACACAAGAAAAACAATGCAATATTTAAACTTGCTGTGTTTGATTTATTTTAGTTGACATTATGGTCTTATAGTGCATCTATTTTCCTACAAATGACTCAAGTTGAACCTTCTTTATGGCATAGTAGTATTCCATTATATATAAATACCACGATTTCTTTATCCATTCATCTTTTGATGGACATATGGGATGCTTCCAAGACTTAGCTATTATAAACTTTGCTGTTAAACAAGGGTTCACATGTACTGCTAGGATGATTTTTTTTTAATGTAGTTAGTACATTAATTTTTTTTAATGTAGTTACTACAGGATCTCACTACACAGCTCAGAATTGTAGTGATCCTCCTGTTTTCAGCCTCCCAAGCACTGGGATTACAGGCACACACCACCACGCCCAATCTCAGTTGCAGGAATTGAACCTCAGACCCGGTGCCTGCTAGGCAGATGCTTTAGTCTGCTGAGCTATCTGGCTGGCCTTAGGATATGATTCTTTAACTTGTGGGTACCTTCGGATACCCCTTCTAAGGTATCTTCTGATATTGAGTTGAATGGAACTTCTAATTTTAGTTCTCTGAGGAATCTCCATACTGATTTTCATGGAAGTTGTACCAGTCTGTAGTTCCACCAGCAATGTAGGTTTCCTTTTTCCTTAGAGCCTAATCAAATGTACTTCATTTTTTTAAAGAAACTATTTACATGTCAAAATATTAAAAATCATGAATTAGATATACTATGAGAAATTACAATTAAAAATTTTGATGGTAGATAACAAACATATCTACATATGACAAAATTGCACAGAATATAAACACACACACACACACACACACACACACACACAATCAGTATATGTGAAATCTGAATAAACTCTGTGGAAATATATAAAATAAAAGCCTTGAGAAAAAATATGTTATACACACCAATAATCCCAGCACTCAGGGAGGCTAAGGCACAAGGATTAAAAATTTGACCCCAGTATGGACAACTGAGTGACTTGGCTAGAGCCTGTCTCAAATTTTTTTAAAAATTTAAAAGAGGGCTGGGGAGATAACTCAGTAGAATAAGTACTTGCCTGGCAAGCGCAAGGGCCTAAGTTCAATCCCTAGTTCCACAAAAAAAAAAAAAAAAAAAAAAAAGATTTAGCTCATATAGTTGGGTGCTCCCATGTTTAGTGCATACATATTTATTAGTGTTACCTCTTCCTCTTGAATTTTTCCCCTAACCAGTATATATAGTGGCCTTCTTTATTTTGCTTGATCATTCATGGTTTGAAGTTGAGACTGTCTGAGAATAGGATTGCTACCCCTGCTTTTTTCCTACATGCTGGGTCATGTAGTATTGTTTTCTGTCCTTTGATTTTCAGCCTATGAATTTCTTCATGAGTTAAGTGTGGTTTTTTTTATATAGCAGATGTTGGATTTAGTTACTTAATCCACTGTGCCAGTCTATTTCTCTTAATTGGTGAATTGAGTCCATTTACATTGGTGGTTATAATTGAGATGTGTTGACTTATGATTGACATGTTATTTACCTGCTGTCATTTACTTTTTTCTGTCCTGTGTTTAATTGCTTGCCCTATTTATTGGATTCCTTCTGTTCTCATTCATGGAGTTCTGATGAAATTGGTCCCTCTCTAGAGCATCTTTCAGTAGCCTGTGTAGGGTTGGCTTTGTCATCATGAAATTCTGTAGCTGTTCTTTCTCATGAAAGTATTTCACTTCTCCATCAAACTTGAGAGATTTTTGCAGTGTACGGTAGTGTGGCCTGGAATTTGTTTTCATAGAGGACTTGAAGGACTCTGCTCCATGCTCTTCTTGCCTTCATGGTTTGTGAAGAGAAGTCAGCCATAATTTTGATGGATTTTCCTTTGAATGTGATGTGCTTCTTTTCGCTAATGGCTTTCAGTTTATTATTCTTGTGCTGTATTTCTGGGATCTTGACTATTATATGTCTCAGTGTGTTTTTAAGTGGGTTGAAGTTATTTGGCATTCTGTATGCTTTGATTACCTTA